AGGGAAGGAATTCTTACTTTCTTTTATTTTCTTGATCAGGTGTTCCAGGCCGAGAGTTGCAGGCCCAGCATATTGAAGATCATGGTCATTTCAGTACCTAAGTTGGAAGTTATTGTTTGTATATAGTTGTGGTTTCTTTTTCTTTTACATGTTTCTGTTCCAGTTCTTTTTTTTTTACTCTTTATTCTTTCCCTCGATTGTTAGTTGATGTTGTTTTTATATGAACGCTCTGAAAAATGCAATAAAAATTATTTTAAACAAAAGATAGGTTTCTTTGGTTCTGAGGTCATGTCTGCCGGCTCCATCCTTCAGAGCTCTGGGATGTAATCCATCGGGTCCTGGTGATTCAAACTGCTGGTTCTCCTCCTTTGCACAAATAGCAGCAAGAGCCACTGAAGTCTGGCTATGCCCCTAGCATCACATTTTTGTCTGCAAGTTGTTGATATTTTGAAGTAATTTAAGTGTATACGACATTTTTGGGGGAGGCAGTTGCCCCAAACCCCACTCAAATAAGAGACCCATTCTTTGTTCAGGTTTACAGATTATCTGATGAGACAATAATTGAAACATCTATAAAGGCAGTCTCTAATTTCTTTCACATAGCTATATTCAAATCCTGGAGACAAGTATACTCAATAATTGTATTAATCCATTATTTCAAGGTGGACTAAAAAGTCCAACCCCCCCTCCTCCTCCCACTCAAGCAGGAGACCCCATACCCACTCCAGACAAATGACCCTCCTGACTCTTCTTGAAAACCTCCAGTGAAAACCACCCAGGACTTCCAGAAGCAAAAGCTGCTCCAGTGATGAATTGTTCCCACTGTCAGGAAACATCTTTTTCGTTCCAGGATGGATCTCTCCTTCAGGATGTTCCACCCGTTATTTCCTCCCTTCCGCTCAGGACAATATAAAGATGGTGAAGACAGCAGGACAAGCGACAAAGGACAAAAAGAAGGAAGATGCTCAAAAGCCTGTGGTCAGTCCACTTCTGGAAAGTCACACTGCAAGTCAGAAAGTCACACCATGTCCCCATATTGGGCACAGCCGGTTGGAAGGCCATCTAGCAGGCTTTGGATATGGCCAACATCCAAAGTTCTACCTAGGAATGGCCCTAGAGAACGGGACATTTTGGATTCTATGTTCTCCTATGATGGTCCTAAAATGTAGGCAGAGTCATAATCACCAAACCATCAGTGAGTGTTGGACTGAGGACTTGGGCCTCTCCTGCATGACGGCAAAACTGATACCTGATGTTGGAACATCATCATACATCTCTTCCCTGATATGAACTCTTTATAGCACTTCAGTCATGAAGAAGGTTTAAAAACATGACAGCTGTGGGGTTACCAGCTCCTTGTTCCCGCACAGCTGGAACAAAGTAAGGATTGCTCACTTTTGGCCATTCAGGAAAACCAGTGAAAAATATGTTTTCTACTTGCAGTGGCCCCCAGCCTTTTGGGCACCAGGGACCAGTTCTGTGGAGAGAATTCACGAACGAATACAAATAAATGAACAAGGAGCTGGTAACCACAGGGCTGTCATGTTTTTAAACCTTCATGGATGAAGTTTTATATAGTTTGTATCAGGGAAGCGATGTATGAAATTGCTCAAGCTTGCCTTCAGAAGGGGTAGGTGCTCCATTACTGGAGGTTTTCAAAAAGAGACAGGACAGCCATTTGTCTGAAATGTTATAGGATCTCCTGCCTGAGCAGGGGGCTGGACTAGATGACCTCCAAGGTCCCTTCCGGCTCTATTCTGAATTTGAATTTAATTTTAATAAATCTGAATTTAAATGGTCTACACACATACAGATACTCAGGAAAACTCCAATGGCCATATATTGATGCTGAGGAATTTGAAAAAGAAATGTTTGCATTTTTTAAATTATTATTATTATCTTTATTTTTGCTTATGGATTATAATTTTATGCACAGACCTCTGTCACATCTGAAATTAAAGTTTCTTTTAACGTTCGGAAACTCTAGATTCTGTCCTAGTATAAGTAAACTTGTAGATAAGTTAAAAATTCTTTTTAATTATTATATTCTTAGAAATTGGAGTGATAATGCTATCATCTTTAATGTTTTTTTTATTCATTTCTGCTTTGAATGGAATATTAGTTCTTAAAGTGTTAAACTGATTAATGATTTTGTTTATATCTGTTCCGGTTCAGTATTACTTGAAAGAAAATGGTGGTGTGTTTTTGTTACTTTTTCTTTCAACATCTTATGCAATGTTTATATTCTGTAAAGTCTTAATATATTCCTTCTTTTTTCTTTCTTTTCAGTCGTACAATAATATCTTTTTAAAAATAAAAAGGAGTTATATATTCTTGTAGTGAGGGAAAAACTCTATTACTGATAAAAAAATCACCGCCTCCTGTATTATATACCCACTTCTTTCTTTTCCCCTTCTCTCTTGTTATAGCTGCTTTGAGCCATTAGAGGAGGCCAAAGATTCAGGAACATGAAACATAAATAGCACTTCTTAAGCTTGGTTGCTAAAATCATCTGGATGGGGAATCTCACAGATTCTCTTCCAGAAAAATAACAAGAGCAATGAAACAGAAACAAACCTTTTGCAACTTTTCATCAAAACACAGCAAGAAATCCTTGAGGACCAACCCTTTGAAAGAAAATAGTGGCAAGCGGGGCTTCCCACAACTGGGTTAGTTTGAAGATTGCAACAGCCCTTTGTGGGTGGGAGTCCTGGCACTTGAAGGATCTCCCGAGTGCTGTCAACTCATCGAAAGCTTTTTAGCGCCTCTCTTTTTTTTCTGTCTTCCTTTAAATAAAAAGGTTTGCAGATGTTGGATGTTTATGTGCAAGAGTACAGGAATGTGGGATGTGCTGATGTAGAAGTGACAGTAAGTGAGGACATCTATTTTTTTTTCCTGATTCTTAAATACCAGGATCCAGACACTATGGTAGAGAGCCGGTAGTGGTTAAGGCGCTGGGATAGAAACCAGGAGATTGTCAGGCCTGTCACAGCTTGGATGTTTAGGAAAGAAAGACCCCCGACTCCATTTCTTTGAAGTAAAAGGTTCTTTTGCTAAAGTCAAGCTGGATTTGAGTTTTCCCCATGCAAAGTTTGCGCTTTCCACCCTTTCCCTGGCCCTCCCCGCTTGGCCAGTCCATCAGTGTCCAATAGCATTCCACTTTTGATGTTTTGGGAACAGCTTTGTCTCCTCTTGGCGTATCATTTTCACATTCCATTCTCAGGCTCTGTCCTTGATCGGCCAGTTTATTCCGGATCGACATCTCTGATTCCTGTCATCTTGTCCTTCCCTTCCTTTTTATGGTCCAATCCCATGCCCGTTCCTTATTTCCCCAATTTCCTCCCCTCCTCCTTTGCATTTTAGGGGCAGGATGCCTGCGAAGTGGCGTGTGCTGAAGATGACATGGGTGATGAGTTCTAGTCCCACCTTTGGCACGAAGCCAGTTGAGTGATCTTGATCCTTCTCTCTCAGCCCTAGGAAGCAGTTGATGGCAAATCGCTTCCAAAACCTTGCCAACCGCTGGGACTTGTCCAGGCCTTTGCCAGGAATCAAAAGCTGTCTTGAAGGCACCCACACCCACAAACACAATGGTAGAAAAACCCAGGAGCTTCAGAGGTATCCAAGTGGGCAGTAGCACCAAGACAGAGAAGCACTTGGCTACCAGCCTCCTGGTGCGTAAGATCTTAGCTGGCAAGTCTCTACTGGCTTTCGGAAAGGTTGGTGTCTCACACATATTTTCTTGTTTAGTTGCAGTGACACCTGTTTTTTGTGCCTAGGATGTGGGTGATCCACCCGGCCTAGGCGGAAGCTGAGATCAGAGTCATGCCACCAGATTATTCCCCGAGATAACCCATGGATGTGAAAGTTGGACTTTGAAGAAGCCCAAGAGGGAAAGCATTGACCCCTTTGAACGTTGGTGCTGGAGAAGACGCCTGAGAAGATATCGGCATGGTGGAGAAGAAAACAAACGGATGGATCATTGAATAAATTCACCCAGACTTTATCCTGGAGGCCCAGATGGTCAAGGGAGAGATCTCTTGGAGAAGATCTATGTGATCATTGAGAGTCAACTGCTACTTGATGACAGATCATGAATTGCTTCAGCAACAAAAGAACATTCAACCTGCAGCCCTAATTTAGAAACAACATCATTCCACTTAAGATGTATTTTTAGGGTTGCACTTCCAACAATGTGAGCGTATGTTTTGTGTAAAATTGCTTGTCTGTTTTGGTTTCCCTCCTCTTCTCAAGGGAGGGAGGGAGGAAGGATAGGAAGGAGAGATGGAGGAAGGAAGGAAGGAAGGAAGGAAGGAAGCAAGGAAGGAAGGAAGGAAGGAAGGAAGGAAGGAAGGAAGGAAGGAAG